CGGGGCACGCTTTTGGTGTCCCTTTACGGCTGCAGAGCCACAGTCGAGCGTCCCCGGGGTCCAAACTCCGGCGCCTGCCTCGGGTTATGGCGGGGGGGAGGACGAGGCCGGCCGGTGGCGATGGCTCCCGGCGCGGTTCTGCCGGCTGTCTGATGCCGGGCTGAGCTCGGCAAAGGTCAGCGTGACCCTGGCAGGGATTCGCGTACCCGGTCTCGGCCTCACCCTCCGGAGGTGCGGGCCCCGACCAAAGTCCAGGCATGACTTTCCTCAGAGGAAAGGGATGAGGTTTCCCCAGAGGAGGGACACGAACTCTCCTGCGGTGAGCACAGCTCGTTAAACGGGTAGTGGGGAACCGTCAAACGAGCTCTTGAGCACAGGAGTTTGTTGGGAGAGCGGGACGCTGCGGTCGGCGATGAGGTCACGGCTCCGCGTTCAATGTGGGACGAGGCTTGGGGCATCCAGGGCGATACGACGACCCCCAGCCCCGCCGCCCCACCCTGTGTGGTGGTCCCACGGCTCAGCCTCGCCGCTCGTCTCTTTTTTTCCCCGCTTTACAGCACTTCTTAACCAAAGTTTCCACGGTCTCAGGCGCTGCCTTGTGTTTTTTGAGGGCGTTTTTAATCCCCAAGCCGCACGGCTGCTGCTAGAATAGAGCTTTTCAATCAGTTTGGCTTATTACGTGTTGTGAAAATACTGGAAGCCTCAGGTGCGTGCCAGCCCCCCCGTTTCCACGCTCACAAAAAGCAGACGGGAGCAACGGGGAGCAGCTCCAGGGACTGGCTCCTAAATCCAGGAGCCTTCGGATCGAGCAGGCTGGGCGGGGAGAGCTGCTCCTTGCTTCCAGGTGGTTGTTTCCCAGGCGGTGTTCTCCTTCCGTAGAAATAAATCCATCGCGCTGCGTCCTTCTAGGAGAGCACACTTGGGTGAGCAGGGTGGGCTCGTCCCCCCGCGCCTCGGCTCGGTGCCCTCCTGCATCCAGGGCGTCTCCCGGCTCAGCTGCGTGGTACGGGGTGAGCAATTAGCGGGCAACGAGCTCGTCCGACCCATTTAGGAGTCAGCCGGGTGACCTGCCTCGGCGCGGCTGAGTGGGGACCTCAGCGATGGGAGCGAAGGTCGCAGCCTGCCTTTATCACCTCTGGTCATCGGCAGGAGCGTGGGCGAGAGAGAGCGAGGAGGGAATCCCACGGGGACAGACCCGCGGTGCTGCCGCCCTGGGGTGACTCCTCGCCGGGTCCGTGCGGAGGAAAAGGTTTTCCAGGGCCGGGACCTGGCGGTGCCGGTGCCGGCAGAGCGGCGTGGGCGTCTGGAAAGCAGGCGAGGGAGTGACCTGGTTGCGCAGGCGAGGAGTTACCCCCCTTGGGACGGCGAGCGGGTAACCGGGTTGTCTGCTCCGGTTTTGGTAGGTGTGTTGCGCTCGGGGCTGCCCCTGCGTGATTTGTATGACGGGAGCTGGAAGGAATGGGGTCGGGTTTTCGGTGTGACCACGTAAAGGGCTGCCCGGTACGTGGGGGTGCCTGCCTACGAACGAAATACCACGCTAACGAGATGCTGGCCCCAAAACCGCTCTAAAAGAGTTAACGATCGCGGTGTGCCCCGCAGGAACCAGCCAAGTTCAAAGCCCGACATCAAATGCAGAACTCTCAATCGCAGGAACCGCTCCCAGCGTGAGACAAGACTTGTCTAACGAACCCCCGCGTCTCCGCGTTGAGGATGAGCCGTCGGCTCCCCGGCTTCCCCCTTGCCGGGGCTTTGCTGCCTTCCTGGCCGTCAAGAAGAAAAGACCCGTTGGACCGAGGCTCGTAGTCCCATCGGTGAAAAGCGAGGGTCTAGGTGGAAGAATGATCCGTGTTGTTCGCTCCGCGGGTACTGAAGGTCTAGACAGCAGCGCTAGTGTCTTTGCTTTTTTGATTAGAGCAGCCTTGTGATATTCTGGTCGTGGCTTTTTGTCTTATTCCAAGGAATATTCCTCCTGGGAAGGCGGCTGCCTTGCCTGAGTGTGAATACGGTGTATGAAGTCAAACCCAGCAATGGTTACGGCGAGTGTTTTACCTCCGGGAGGCGGAACGTGGCCTGGCGAGCCCACGCCTGGTGTTGAGGAATTGCTTGAAGATGTTTCACAGAGGTTAGGGGTAGAGGGAGCGATAAATCCCAACCTTTTTTATCCCGCAGTTTCTTTATCCTCTGATTCCGTCTGCGTTGAGAGCAGCGGCAGGGTCTCTCTAGAGCCCCTCTTTTAGAAGAGCGCCCAGGCGCGGAGCCAGAGTGGGCAAAAACCATCCCTCAGGTGCGTTTTCACCGTCTTTCTCTTGGCAGCGCTCCGGTTCCCAGCTAGGCTGGAAGCGTGTGAAGCCGCACGGGCGAAATATTCACATCTGGCTACAGCCGGTGGCTGCTCTTACTGCAGCTCCGCGGGAGAAGGATCTGCGGGCAGCGTTTCCAACCCGGCACGTGTGGGAAAGCGTTCCCCGTGCCGGGTCGTGAACGAGCGCGTCACGAGCTCGGCAGCTGCCGGCGGAGATAGAGGAACCAATTTTGCTCCCGCCCAAGCTGGGATGTGTTTTGTAAGGAGATATTTAGGTCAGTCTTGCACTGTAACGACCGTTCGCCGTGTGATCTTCTTCCTCTTTGCCTTTATTAATGGAGTGAGTGTTTCATGGGACTTGCTGCCAGGGTAAGCGCTGTTCCTCCTGAAGGAGTTACGTTTTGGGGGGAAAAGATGGCTTATTGCTAAACTTGAGCTTTTATTTTTGAGGAAAGCCCTCAGGGCTGTGCTTTAAAAAGGAGCCTGTAGAGAAAGAAAATAGCGTAAGTGCGTGCAAAGAGAAAAGCTTTGCCCCAGCCTTGAGGTCGTCCCCGTCCAAGCGGGAGCTGCCGGAGGGAGAAGTCTCAGGCAGAGGCGCCGTCGCTGTGGGGGCTGGAGAGGTGGCACGCGTCCCCGCCGGGGGCCCAGGTGGCGGGAGGTATTTGCTCGCCGTTTCTCCCCACGGCGTGAAGCGATTTGGTGGCAGTTAAAACCTGGAAGGGGCAGGGGCTGGCCGGGGGCCCTGATGTGTTTAAGACCACGGTGTCACGGCTCCGTGCGGTGGCATCCGGCGTCCCGCTTCCTTCCAAGTCGCGCTCAAGGAGCCACGACAGGGCAGCCCGGCGTCCTCACCAGCCCTCCCGTCCCCGGGCGAACGCCTCGCAGGCGGGAGCCGCTTTCCGATGGGCAATCTTACGGTTTGGTGAAACCTCAGCGCCCCGCTCCGCACCGGCACAGGTGAGTTCTCCTACGTGCTGGTCCAGAGCAAGCACTCGAGACTATTTGCAAAGTGGCGGAATAAGCAAACTCCTTCCCCGAGCGCTGCGCCTTGGCAGGTTTGTTGGCGGGCGCGAGGGGCGAGTTGTGCTGAGTCGAGAGCTCCTGGAGTGTGCTTTGCTCATCTTGTTGCCCTAGAGTCAACGATAAACTCTTGAGCGTATTTGGATAGGTAGATGACAGTTGTAGCCCTGCCTGCAAGAAACGGTATCGCTCCAGCCCTGCGTGAAGTAACCCTCTCTGGATTATTTTTGCGTGCCTGACTTGGTTGCAAACCACCTTTGGAGCTGGTTATGGAACCGGGGAATTAATCTTTGGAAACCTAAAATGGGTTCAAATCACTTAAAATGAATTCCTGGCTAATGTTTTCCTTTTATGTCTTCACTGAACCAATACTGCCTTGCTACAAGGAAATCTCCCGTTAATATGCAATGGGCTTTGAGGGAGATTAAGTGCTTTACATACCAAACGTATATACTGTTGGTACTTTGACTTGTCCTTGAGGGGCTTGCGGGGGGTTTGACCTTCTAAAGCCTGGAGGACGCCAGCTTCGTCCAAAGTCCTGTGCCAGATCCCCGTTCCTTTCTGCGTGGGTTAGGTTTAAAAATCCACCGCGATGAAAGAGTTACATCATGCCCTTAAAGGAAACTTCAGATGCCCTGTAAAGGGTGCGGTGTAGATGTAATAATCGTGCCTGGAAGGGGAGGGATGGTATGTATTTTTTACACATAAAGGAAATTCCACTCTTGTTTCCTTAGCTGGAGTTTCACAACAGGCACTGTCCTCGGCCTGGCTGCTTGCAAACACTTCGGTCACGTTGGTTTGCCCGGTGGGTCCACTCACCCCTTCTTCGTGTTGTTGCAACAGGAGTTTCCAAGCAGGTCCCGGGCAAAACACTCCCCTCCGGGCCCTGCAAGGGTCTTCAAAAGCTGGAAAAGGGCCGGGGAAGTAAATCTGTCCCTGCCAGGAGCGGTTGGTTCGCTCGGCTCTCTTGTAGGTTTTTATTCTCCTTCTTGACAGTTTTTTTTCCCCCCCTCTCCTTTGCAGCCGATGTGGCCAATCTAAACCAGTTTCCAGGCCACTGGAAGGGTTCCACCATGGGGAACTCCGACACGGACCAGAAGGCATCCTACGGTAAGGCTCACGTTGTGGCACAGCAGATTTGCTCTCATACATCCACCTTCTGTTTAATTCATTCCTTTGTCCCGCAAAAACCACCCCAAGGATTCGGTGTGCCCGTTGACCGCCCATACACTTGATCATAGAAACACAGAACGGTTTGGGTTGGAAGGGACCTTTAACGCTCGTCTAGTCCAACCCCCCTGCCCTGGGCAGGGACATCTTCAACTGGAGCAGGTTGCTCAGAGCCCC